GCTTTTATTATTTTGAGATACGTTCCGTCAATACCTAGCTTATTGAGGGTTTTTAGCATAAAGGGCTGTTGAATTTTGTCAAAGGCCTTCTCTGCATCAATTGAGATAATCATGTGGTTTTTGTCTTTGGTTCTGTTTATGTGGTGAATTACGTTTATAGACTTGTGTATGTTGAACCAGCCTTGCATCCCCGGGATGAAGCCTACTTGATCATGGTGGATAAGCTTTTTGATGTGCTGTTGCAATCAGCTTGTCAGTATTTTATTGAAGATTTTTGCATCTATGTTCATCATGGATATTGGCCTGAAGTTTTCTTTTCTTGTTGAGTCTCTGCCGGGTTTTGGAATCAGGATGATGTTGGTCTCATAAAATGATTTGGGAAGAATTCCCTCTTTTTGTATTGTTTGGAATAGTTTCAGAAGGAATGGTACCAGTTCCTCTTTGTATGTCTGGTAGAATTCGGCTGTGAACCCGTCTGGACCTGGGCTTTTTTTGGGTGGTAAGCTCTTAATTGCTGCCTCAACTTCAGACCTTGTTATGCGTCTGTTCAGGGTTTCGGCTTCTTCCTGGTTTAGGCTTGGGGGGAGGCAAGTGTCCAGGAATTTATCCATTTCTTCCAGGTTTACTAGTTTATGTGCATAGAGTTGTTTGTAATAATCTCTGATGATGGTTTGAATTTCTGTGGAATCTGTGGTGATATCCCCTTTATCGTTTTTTATTGCATCAATTTGGTTATTCTGTCTTTTCTTTTTTATTAATCTGGCTAGTGGTCTGTCTATTTTGTTGACCTTTTCAAAAAACCAGCTTCTGGATTTATTGGTTTTTTGAAGGGTTTTTTGTGTCTCTATCTCCTTCAGTTCTGCTCTGATCTTAGTTATTTCTTGTCTTCTGCTAGACTTTGACTTTTTTTGATCTTGCTCCTCTAGCTCTTTCAGTTTTGATGATAGGGTGTCAATTTTTGATCTCTCCTTGCTTCTCATGTGGGCACTTATTGCTATATATTTTCCTCTAGAGACTGCTTTAAATGTGTCCCAGAGATTCTGGTATGTTGTGTCTTCATTCTCGTTGGTTTCGAAGAACATCTTTATTTCTGTCTTCATTTCATTGTTTATCCAGTCAACATTCAAGGGCAAGTTGTTCAGTTTCCATGAAGCTGTGCGGTTGTGGGTTAGTTTTTGAATTCTGAGTTCTAACTTGCTTGCACTGTGGTCTGAGAGACTGTTTGTTATGATTTCTGTTCTTTTGCATTTGCTGAGGAGTGATTTACTCCCAATTATGTGGTCAATTTTAGAGTAGGTGTGATGTGGTGCTGAGAAGAATGTATATTCTGTGGATTTGGGGTGGAGAGTTCTGTAAATGTCTATTAGATTTGCTTGGTCCAGGTCTGAGTTCAAGTCCTGGATATCCTTGTTAATTTTCTGTCTGGTTAATCTGTCTAATATTGACAATGGGGTGTTAAAGTCTCCCACTGTAATTGTGTGGGAGTCTAAGTCTCTTTGTAAGTCATTAAGAACTTGCCTTATGTATCTGGGTGCTCCTGTATTGGGTGCGTATATATTTAGGATAATTAGCTCTTCTTGTTGCATTGATCCTTTTACCATTATATAATGTCCTTCTTTGTCTCTTTTGATCTTTGTTGCTTTAAAGTCTAATTTATCAGAGATGAGAATTGCAACTCCTGCTTTTTTTTTTTGCTCTCCATTTGCTTGGTAAATCTTCCTCCATCCCTTTATTTTGAGCCTTTGTGTATCCTTGCATGTGAGATGGGTTTCCTGGATACAGCACACCGATGGGTTTTGGCTTTTTATTCAATTTGCCAGTCTGTGTCTTTTGATTGGGGCATTTAGTCCATTTACATTTAGGGTTAATATTGTTATGTGTGAATTTGATGCTGCCATTTTGGTGCTAGCTGGCTGTTTTGCCCATTAGTTGATGCAGATTCTTCATTGTGTTGATTCTCTTTACCATTTGGCATGTTTTTGGAGTAGCTGGTACTAGTTGTTCCTTTATATGTGTAGAGCCTCTTTCAGGAGCTCTTGTAAAGCTGGCCTGGTGGTGACAAAATCTCTGAGTACTTGCGTGTTCACAAAGGATATTATTTTTCCTTCACTTATGAAGCTTAGTTTGGCTGGATAGGAGATTCTGGGTTGAAAGTTCTTTTCTTTAAGGATGTTGAATATTGGCCCCCACTCTCTTCTGGCTTGTAGGGTTTCTGCTGAGAGATCTGCTGTGGGTCTGATGGGCTTTCCTTTGTGGGTAACCTGACCTGAAGAAAGTAATTTTTAAAGTGTTCATAAAAAGAAATACTTAAAAATAACTAATAAAGTATTGTAACATACCTAAATATCAAACAGCAGAGAAATATGAAATAAATTGTGCTATATCCACAGTACATAGTCTTATAAAATCATTGAAATGTTACATTGATGGTGATCTTATATAAGTATAGGAGAAGCATAGTTACAATGTTAAGTGAAAAAGTAAGCTTCATTATGATCTTGAGCATGCAAAACAATTTTTCACGGCATGAAAGATGGGAGGAAAACCTTTAGAGGCTGGATTAGAGACCTTTTTCTCTCTACTTTTCTGAGTTTAAAAAAAATCCATAAGAAAAATGTGTATTAAAATAATAAAAATATGTTGTATTGTTTAAATGATGCTGGCATCTATATGAAGAAAATCTGTGACTTAAATTTTAATCAGATGCTTCCATGGTTTGGAAACCAAATAGCAAAGCTATGAACATATGCAGATAGATGCTCCAAAACATTTTGTATTGGAGCATCTATCTGCTCCAATACATCTATGGGATGTAGAGAAAAAAGATTTTTTTTAATAGAAAAATAAAATTAATGATGAGAAGATTAGTTTGAGCTTTTGCAAAAGATCTCTTGAGCACTGAAAATAACATATATTATAACATGTATAAGGCAAACAATTTACTTTAAATATTTCTGCATAGTATGTTAAGATTCTGATCTTTATTCTGTTTTTCCAGTGATCCTGTATTATAAAGTTTCTTTTCTATTACCTGCAGGAAGTAATGGCTGAACACAATCCCCAGTATCTCATTGAGCTAAGTGGAAATAAACCACCAGAGGAGCTCTTTACGGTGAGTGCAGTGTTCAGCAGAAGTACTTCACAGCGTGGAAAATTTAAAAGCTATTGACAGCATTGTACTTCTTTAATAAATAGGAGTATATTTGTATTTGAACACCATTTATCTTTGAACAATTTGTCTTGACACTTAAAATTTTGATGTTCTGTTTTTTCGTCTGTTCGTTTTAAAATCAAAACTACATTCAAATTTAAAATCTCTGTATGTCCAAAGGTATCAAAAGAAAATTAAAAGCAATGGTAACCAAAAGCACACGAGAAGATGCTGAACATCATTTGTCACTAGGTAAAGGCAGGTCAAAACCATAGTGATATACCCCTTTTACCTTCTAGGATGACTAAAGTCACACACACACACACACACACACACACACACACACACACACACACACACACAAGATAATAAAAAGTGTGGGTGAGGATGTAGAGAAATTGGAACTCAAAAATGTTTTACAAAGATATAGTAACTATTTCTTAAACATCTAATAAGTGTCCGGCATTATGATGAGCTCTAGGGATACAGATACAAAGGAGGCAGATGAGTCCACACGTCTCTTCCCTCATGCAGTATCCAATATGTTGGGAATAATAAATCTCTAGAGAGCAGTTTTTGTTATAGTCAGGGATATACATGCATGGTATTATAGGATTTCATGGCATAATGACAAAACCTAATCAGGCAAGGAGGACCACCAGTCTGAAATTATCTTTAAATAAAAACTTAGAGGACAGTAAGAACTAGACCTTGAAGACAAGGGTAGGTGAGGGAAGTGGGACAGTGTTCTATGCTGAGGGGAGGGGCTATGTCAAGGCCCCAAAGGCCAGAAAGAGCACAGTGAGTTGCAGGAATGGAATGTAGGACTAGAACATAGGAGGATAGGGTAAGAGGGGTGGAATAGAGCCAAGACTAGAAATAAGCGGGGGTTGCGCCAAGAAAGACCTTGTAAACCATATTAAGGAGTTTAGACCTCAACATGAGGAAATAGGCAGCCAGTGAAAGATTTTAAGCCAGAAAGTGCAAATGATCCTATTTCTGTTTAAGAAAGATCACTCAGTTCCATGCAAAGAAAAAACGAAAGGAGAATCAAATTGGTAGTAGGAAAACTAGTTTCAGCTTTTGCCATCAATCAGGTATGAGATGGTAGCCTAACCTAGGGTAGTGACCACAGGAATGGACAGAAAAGGACAGATCTGAGAAACATTTAAGAAATCTACTTGACAGAGCTTGGTGAGTAACTTAATACGGAAATTAAGGGAGAGAGAAAAGTCAAAGACAATGCCCAGATTTCTGGCTTTATCTGATTGGTGGCAACATGGTAACAGTGCTAGTGGTAGATCTAGATCACGGAGAAGCTCCTCACTTGGGACATGCTCTTGCCAAGATCACCTGTGATCTCATGATCCACTGCTCATTTTTTAGTTGTCATCTAATTCAATCTATAATAGAAGCAACATTTGACACAACAGATCACTTCTTTGTTTCTGCACCTTTCTTCCCTTGGCTTCTCAGACATCACACCTTAGTAGTTCCATTACACCTCACTGGACACTCTAATTCTCTAACCTGCAGTGTTTCAGGACCCCAGAGTTCACAAGGCGTGACCTCTTCTCTGTTTACCCTCTCTCGTTAAGAGACTTCATTCCATCAGTGGCTTTAGATATCTTCTAACCACTGACAACTCTTAAATTCATGTTACTATCTCATATCTTTCCCCTGAATTCCACACTTATATACTTAACAGCTGCCACTTCTGTTTTTTAATTGGATGTCTACTAGTCATTTTGGATTTAAGTGTGCAAGATAGAACTTCACCACTCCCATCCTGCCCCCAATGTGCCCCTCCCACCATTCTCCTCTTTCAGTAAATGCCAAAAACACTCAGCCAGCTGCTCTCCTTGACTTTTTTTTCTCACATCCCACATTCCATTCACCAGCATATACAGCAGGCTTCTCTTTCAAAACATAACCAGAATTCTACCACTTTTTACTACCTGGGACACACTTTTCTCAAGGTAGTGGGTTCCAGGGGGCCTGGCTGGAACTGCCAAGGCTGTGAAGGCCCCCATTGGAACTAGTACTCTGCACCTCCACTCACGTTCTATTGGCAGAGCAGGCTACATGGAGAAACTCGACATTAGTGGAATAAGGAAGTGTACTCCACCCAAAGTGAACTAGGAAATTAATCAGTGAAAGTTGCATTGTGAACAAATAACACAATCTATCACAGGCTACCACACACCATCAGGATTTTGGCTATCTCACCATCTCCCATCTCATGTGCTGGCCTTTTTTATTTTTCCAGATTCTTCCACATAGTGTCTGCATTAATTTCCTGGGGTTACCATAGCAAAGTGCCACAAACTGGTGGCTTAAAATGACTTAAATTTATTCTCTCACAGTTCTGGGGGCTAAAAGTCCAACATCAAGGTGTTGACAGTGCCATGCTCCTTCCAAAGCGTACTGTGGAGGCTCTACTTTTGTTTCTTCCAGCTTCTGGTAGCTCCCAGCATTCCTTGGCTTATGGCAGCATAACTCCAATATTTGCCTCTGTCCTCACATGGCAATCATCCCTTTGCCTGAAGAGGTCCCAGAGACCAAACCTCTAAGGACATGAATATTTGGGGACCAGAGGGCAGACTATTATGAGTTGAAATGTGTCCCTCAAAAAGATATGTTGAAGCCCTAACTCCAACACCTATGAATGTGACCTTATTTGGAAAAATAAGGTCTTTGCCTATGGATTAGGAGAAGAGACTCAGACACAAAAGGAGAAGATGGCTCTGTGACCGCAGAGGCAGAGATTGGAGTGATGCATATGCAAGCCAACACATACCAAGGATTGTCAGCAAACAGCCAGAAGCAGCAAGCAAGGATTCATCCCAGAGGCTCAGAGGGATCATGGGCTTGGCTCATAAGCCCATCGCTGTTTCAGAATGTTGGAGATATTCAGATGCCAATGTAGTTAAATATGTGTTCTTTAAATCTAGATTGTTATGGATCGACTTAAATATCTCAACCTAAAAAGGGCAGCTGTTATAACCAAACTTCAGGGTGCAGAGGAAGAAGTTAGTGACACATTGGAAAATGTAAGTTACATGGAAATGTTTGAAAGTCTGCTTTTCAATATAAACTGTGGGCAGGGTGCAGTAGCTCACGCATGTAACCCCATGGGAGGATAGCTTAACCCCAGGAGTTCAAGACCAGCCTGGACAACCTAGTGAGAACCTGTCTCTACAAAAAGAAAAGAAAAACTTAGCCAGATGTGGTGGCATGCACCTGCAGTCTCAGCTACTCAGGAGCTGAGACAGGAGGATTGCTTAAGCCCAGGAGGTTGAGGCTGCAGTGAGTCATGATCACGCCACTGCACTCCAGCCTGGGCAACAAAGCCACACTCTATCTCAAGAAAAAAATTATTATAGATAATAATTTAATTAACTTATTAATAATTTATTTTATTTATTAATTTATGTTTACACACATATATGTATGCTGTGGCCCTAATTTGTATTCTTTGATAAAAATGGATTTGATTTCTGTGAAGAAGCTGTAATATTAGCACAATATCCTTTTAGATATTAGATACAACACAAGTTTTGAAACAAAATCAAAACAAACACAAGAATAATAAGAAAGAAATCCAAGTTCAGTTTAAAAATTTGCAGCACCAAAGAATCTGAAGACATTAAAATTCTTAACTCCATAAGCACTATTCATTTATTTGATCATTCAACCAATTTTTTCTTAGTAACTAATGTGTTCCTGGCACTGATGCGCTATATATGTGATAGATATCAAATTATAACTGCCAACTGCCAAAAGTGCCACAAGGAGTTTTAATTGAAGGATTTGATCTATTCTGAGAAGCTGAGTTTCACCTATATGAGTAGAAATTATTTTTTTTAAATGCATACCAGATCTGGGCACAGTGGCTCACATCTGTAATCCCAGTACTTTGGGAGGCTGAGGTGGAAGGATCACTTGAGCCCAGGAGTTTGAGACCAGCCTGGAACATACATGACTCTGGTCCTACAAAAAATAAAAAAAAAATAACCTGGCATGGTGGCACATGCCTATAGTCCCAAGTACTTGAGAGGCTGAGGTGGGGAAATCAGCTGAGCCTAGAGGTTGAGGCTGCAGTGAGCCATGATTGTGCCACTGCGCCCTAGCCTGCATGATAGAGCAAGACCCTATCTCAAAAATAAAAATAAAATAAAATAAAATACAAACATATACCAGGATCATAAATAGATATAATTTAAATTTAAAAATCTTTGAAGAAAGAGGTCATTTTGTTATCCTTTATCATAACAAGATCTCAGTGGGTCCACATAACTGGAATATGTTGGGACCTCTGCAACATGAACTGGTGCTGAAGAGGAAGAAAGGTAGGCTCGGGTCAGAACAGAGGCTGGGAAAAATAAACTATGTACTGAGGCCTCCTGTTCTAAATCATTATTGAAGGAAAAATAAAAGGTACCTATAAAACCTGCAGGAAATTTCTGAGCCAGAACGTTTGTCCTTAGAAAGCATCGCATGTGTGGGGCATAGGTGTAAGGTTGTAGTTTATAAGCTGTATGACCAGGTGAGGCTGCCTCCTTTTTCATAAAAGGGAAGAAGATGTGGCTGTGTACGCTGGAGTCATTATTCATATCCCTTAAGCAGCATTTCTACCTGGCAGTCCAACTCACCTCCAAAAGAATCATGTTGGAAGCTTACTACAAATACAAATCCCTCAGGCCCTAATCCCAGACTGATTGAACTGGAGATGGAACCTGAAAATGTATTTTTACAAAATCTAGAACGAATTCCTATACCCATTTAAGTCTGACAACACCTACTTTAACTCTTGGGATGCCAAAGGAGCCTGGTCAATTAAAGTTGATTGATCTACAAGTTCCTGTGTTTTTAAAGGACTTTAGATGAATAGCCTTCAGCTAAAGGCAGGTGATTTTTAGAGAATCAATATAATGAAAATGTTTAAAGCAGTGATTCCCAGCCCTGACTGCAAAATGGAGTCATCTAGAAAGCTTTTTAAACATAACAATTCCCAAGCCAATTAAAACAGAATTTCTAGGATAGGGCTCTGTCATTAAGTGAAACAAAACAAAACAGAGTATGACGTCAAAGGCACAGACTACAAAAGAAAAAAATACAAAAAACTTTTGTGCATCAGCACTATCAATAGAGGCCAGGAGTTTGAGACCAGTCTGGCCAACATGGTGAAACCCCATCTCTACAAAAAAAAAAAAAAAAAAATTGAAAACACCATCAATCAATAGAGTGAAAAAACAACCCACAGAAAGGAGAAAAATATTTGAAAATTATATATCTGATAAGGGATTAATATGCAGAATATGTAAAGAACAACTACAATTCTACAGCAATAAAACAATCCAGTTCAAAAATGGGCAAAGGATTTGAATAGACATTTCTCCAAATAAGAGATATAAATGGCCAGTAAGTACATGAAAAGATGCTAGATATCACTAGGCATTAGGGAGATGCAAATCAAAACTACAATGAGATGCCATCTCATGTCCATTAGGGTGCTATTATTCAAAAAACGAGAAATAACAAATGTTGATGGGAGAAATGAGAACCCTCTTGCATTGTTTGTAGGGATGTAAAATGGTGCAGCTGCTGTTTAAAATAGTTTGGTGGTTGCTCAAAAAGTTAAAAATAGAGTTATCATCTATCCAGCAATTGTACTACTAGACATTTCCCCCAACGGATTGAGACCAGGAACTCAAACGGATACTTGTACACCAATATTCATAGCAGCTCTATTCACAATAGCCAGAAGGTGGAAATAACCCAATGTCCATCAAGATGAATAGATAAGCAAAATGTGTTGTGTGTGTGTGTGTGTGTGTGTGTATGATGGAATATTATTCAACCTTAAAGAGGGGTAAAATTCTTATATATGATAAAATCTGAGCCATGAAAACATACTAAGTGAAACAAGCAGATACAAAAGGGCAAATATATGATTCCACTTATAAAAGATACACGGAATAGACAAGTTCATAGAGACAGAATATAGGATAGAGGTTAACAGGAGCTGGGGGTAAGGAAGAATAGAGAGTTATTTCATGAGTACAGAGTTCTGTTTGGGATGATGGAAAAGTTCTGGAAATGAATAGAGATGGTGGTTATACAACACAGTGAATATACTTAATACCACTGAACTGTATGCTTAAAGGTGGTTACAAAAGCAAATTTTATGCGATGTGTATTTTACCACAATTAAAAAACTAAAAAACAAACCCAAAAATCTTCCCTAGGAGATTCTACTATTCAGCCAGGGAAGAGAACCACTAATTTAAAGGGGTAGGAGAGCCACAAAGACCTTACTGTAGACTCCAGCTCCCTGGTGAAGAGCGAGAGAGCTGTAGCATCTGATGAGTTGCTGGAGAGGAGGGGCTGTGCAGGTGGATGGCGACGTGGGCATGGATTTGTGCAATAGGAGGAAGGACAGGGTCAGACTGGCACCCAGCACAGTAAAGTTTTAGCTTTTGAGTCACACAGACCTGGATTTGAATTCCAGCTATATAGCCTATCAGACCTGTACTCTGCTTAACCTTGCTGCCCTTTATTCAATTATATATATATATATATATATATATATATATATATATATGGGATAAAAATCCCTATGTCATTGTGTTATTGTAAAGATTACGTGAGATGTTGTTTTTAAAGTGCCTAGAACCAATGGTGATATTTAAAAAATCTAACAATTGCATCGGAGGGGCAGGGCTGGCTTCATGACACAGGACGACTATGTGCTTAGTTTAATGTTCTGCTGCTGCAGTCTTGAAATTCTTAATAACTGTAGAAGAAGGGCCCTGTAATGTTCATTTCGTTCTGGCCCTGGCAAATTGGTTTGTGCTATGCAAGGGCATTCACCCAATCACAACAGAGCTGGCAGAAGTGCTGGAGACATTTGGGAGGCATTAACCCTAAGTTGCTGGATCATGGAAAGGTCCAGAAATTCTTCAGCAAGAGGAGGGGTCAGAGTAGAGTTTGAGGGTAGTGGCTATGGTGGCCAACTTTCTTCTGCCCCTGCCTCGCTACCTTGGCTGTATCTGGGATTCCTCACAAGCTCCTCTGGTTAAGTCACTCCAAAAAGTATGCTTCCTGTCTTCTGATTGAGAAAGAAGTAGTGGGAGGGAGCCAAGTAGGGGGGGAGTGGCTCTGGCACTAGCACCTTCTTTCAAAGATTTCCAACCAGTCATACGGTTTTCTGCTCTCCATTCATTTCCCTTCAGAGGTACCTGGTATCACAAGGTCCCATGTCTTTCCAGTGTTTTGCAAAGTGAATCCACTAGCTCCATGTTGTTCCTGCCCCTCCCATACCTATCTTTGCTCCACAGATACTTAGCCATCACCTTTCTCTGACATAAGTCAGTTACCACTCATCCATCTGCTTTCTAGCTGACAAAATTGTGTAGCTGTAGCTGGTGAGCTGTCAGCCTAATCAACATCTCTAGTCTCTTCGCCCATTCCCTGTGTCTTCGTGAGTTTATTCTTTTTTTTAAAAAAAAATTCTTCTACTGTCATTTTAGTGAGGTTTTAGGAAAGCAGCAAACATATATGCATGTTTTCAGTCTGCTTTGTTTAAGCAGAAGCCAGTCCTGATCATTTTTAAGCCTGTAATATCAAATTCATTCAAAAGCTCCTCTTCTCCTCTCCCCTCAGCACCTGCTGAATGTGTGGTACCATGGGCATGAAGTTGAGAGAGGAACATGGTCTGCTATTCAAATACTTAACCTTTTAGAGAATACTTGCGGTCTATTCAAATACTGTTTTCATGTATGGGTGCAAAATATGGATGATAAGGAAAGAGTGACTGCTTCCTGACCTAACTAGGTATGATTTCAGTCCATAGCTCATTGTCCTGGAACTCTGTGGAAAAGAGCTGTAGCTTAATGTGCTCCACGGATGAGGTTTTCAGTCTTATGCAAGTCCCCTAAGCATTGACAGTTTGCTTAACATTTACTATCACTTCCAGCTCTCACTTTGGAACATTCATGAGGCATCTCTGCAGTACACATGCCTCTTTGTTCTCTGATGCTGCAGTGGTCCAGGGAAGATCATAGCTCACAATCTCATCTGCATTCCATAGCCAACTATGAAGCCAGCATATACATGTGTGACCCCCATCTGAGGGCTTGAGGGAGCACTTTTCCCCTGGCCATTGCCCACTGTCTTCATTTTCTTTTGCTGTAGTAAAATACCACAGACTAGGTAATTTATAAAGAAAATAAGTTTATTTGGTTCACAGTTCTGGAGCCTGGGAAGTCCACGTGCATGGCACCAGCATCTGGTGAGGGCCTTTGTGCTGTTTCCCATGGTGGACCGTAGAAGGACAAAAGAGTGAAAAAGCCAGAGCCAGGGCTAGAGGAGGCCAAATTTGCCTTTATAACAACCCCACTCTCAAAATAACTCACCCACTCCTGAGATAACCACGTTAATCTATTTATGAGGGCAGAGCACTCATGACCTAATCACCTGTTAACAGTCCTACCTCTAAATACCATCACAATGGCAATTAAATTTCAACATGAGTTTTGGAGGGGACATTAAAACCATAAACCTCACCATGCCATCTCTCACCAGTTTTCTCATCCCCTGCTAAGGAAGCACAAGGACAGATGAACCTTTCAAACAATCTTTGTATCATATGGTAAAATAAGCATAAATATAAAATAAAATAAGCATGTTCCCAGCTGAGATTTAGCAGTTTTCTACAGAATTTTACAGTCTGTAGAAGAGTATTTTTTAACTTATCTGGAGGTCACCAACAGAAAGGATTGCTGATGAAGGAGACTTTAAATTTTAAGAATGAAAGAACCACTTATAACTAAGTAAGTGCAAAAACAATGTGTGTGTAACATCGTAGGTATATGTAAAAGCCAGGGTAAATTGACAAAGAATCTGGTACATTTTCAAAAATTTTTATAAGAATTTTTCAGAATCTGTTTTCTAAGATGATAGAAAATGTACAAACTACCTTATGCCTATTTTACCACATGATAGAAATTACTCAGTAAAATTTAGTTTTTTAACATAAATGAAAACTAGTCTTATTAAATCAAAGACAAGTGCAGAATGTTGCAGTTAAGAAAAAAGCCAAAATTTGCTTTTTAAATTCTTTCTGAAAGAGTAAAGCACTATAAAATAATAAATGAAATATTTAATACTGCTGATTCCAGCAAAACTTAGGCCCATATTTTTAATGTAGTATTTGCAATTCACAGGGTGAGCTGTTTCGTACTCTTGCATCTTATAAACCTATTGCACCAAGATATAGATGGCAGAGAAGCAAATGGGGACCTACATGTCCTGTGAATTTAAAAGACGGTAACATTTATTCAGGATTATCAGATTATTCTGTGAGGTAAGTAAGATTTTTAGAACTTAATTTTAAAACTTGCTCATACGTCTTTTCAGTTGTTTACTTATATGGCATATTTGAAGTTTTCTAGGTAAGATCTACTGTCTTTCATCAGAAGAAGCATTAAAACCATTTTTATTGAACCCACGTCCCTATCTGCTTCCACCTATGCCAGCACCACCGTGTAAAGTATTCATAATTGGACCTCAATATTCAGGGAAAACAACACTTTGCAATATGCTTGCAGAAAATTACAAAGGAAAGGTAACTATCTATCTATCTATCTGTCTACAGCGTATCTATCTATACTTGATTATAATTTGTAGGATTTTATTTATACTCATTTTTTTTTTTTTTTGAGACGGAGTTTCGCTCTTGTTACCCAGGCTGGAGTGCAATGGCGCGATCTCGGCTCACCGCAACCTCCGCCTCCTGGGTTCAGGCAATTCTCCTGCCTCAGCCTCCTGAGTAGCTGGGATTACAGGCATGCGCCATCATGCCCAGCTAATTTTTGTATTTTTAGTAGAGACGGGGTTTCACCATGTTGACCAGGATGGTCTCGATCTCTTGACCTCGTGATCCACCCGCCTCGGCCTCCCAAAGTGCTGGGATTACAGGCGTGAGCCACCGCACCCGGCCTATACTCATTTTTTAAAATCTCATGCTTTAATTGGATAATTGTTCCACTGGGCTTGGAGTAGGGAAAGCATTCTTTGGTTGTTGCTTATTGCTTCTTCTAGACCAGAGTCCCTCCCTGCTTCCCCAAAGCCCCCAGATGTAAATGTCATGTCATTCAGACTATGCCACCTACTAGCTTTCTTTGTTCTACTCATCTTCTGTTTCCTGGGTTTCACTACTTTTGGCTTACTCTCACTCTCCCCATACACTCACTCCTGTCCTAATTCTTGGTAATTTCAGTATTACAAAGATGATCCTCTCAACACCTTGACCCCTTCTCCCTCAGTAATCTTGTTGTCCACTCTCAGTAAATTATTTTTAGCTTAGACAAGAGTGATAAAGAAACAAGCATATTTGGGATATAATTTGAAGGCAGAGCCAGAAGATTTGATGAGGGATTGGAATGTGGAGGAATTCTAGGAAGGGCAGTGTGGCTTGAGGATGGCCTATGCAAGAAGGAATGGCAAAAGATAATGGATAAAGTCATAGAGCAATTCAGGCTACGGGAAGGTGTTAGAAGTCGTTCCAAGTCCTTCTGCATTCTTTTAAGCACAGGAATATCATTTCCTATTTGCTTTCAACTTTTTCATTGTAAAACATGACAAACATACAGAAAAGTGAAGCCCCACTGAGTTATCACAAAATGAACCCCCATGTAACCACCACCCAGGTCAAATATGGAATGTTGCCAGCACCTAGAAGCCTTCTCATGTTTCTTCTCAATACCAGTCTCCTCACTCTCCACACAAAGGTAACCACTGCCCAGAATTTTATGGCATTCACTTCCATATTTCTCTTATGGTTTTGCCATAGAAGCATACACCCAAATATCACAGGTTAGTTTAGCATGTTTTTTTGAACTTCATAAACTTAAACAATTTATCTTCTTTGTTCCTGGCTTCTTTCACTTAACATTATAGTTATGGTATTTGCCCACTTAAACAATTTATCTTCTTTGTTCCTGGCTTCTTTCACTTAACATTATAATTATGACATTTGCCCACACTATCGAATGTAGCTGTAGTTTGTTCATTTTTACTGTTTTATTGTATTCTGTTGGTTGAATTACACCATGGTGTATTTATCCACATTTGAGCACTAATAAAACTTTGATTCCAGATTGGAGTGAATGACACTACTATAGATATTCCTGTACATGTCTCTTGGTGCACACATGGACAAATATTTAACTTGTGTAGATAATGCCAAATTGTTTTCCAAAGTAGTTCCATTAATTCACAGTACTATCTACAGTGTATGAGAGTTCCATTATTCCACATTGCTGTCAACTCTTAGGATGGTCAGTCTTTCTAATTCTAGCCATTTTAGTGGGTGTATAGCAGTATCTCACTGTGGTTTTAATTTGCCTTTCTCTGATGACTAACGAGGTTGAACCTCTTTCATATGTTTACTTGTCATTTAGATATTTTCTTTCTGAAGGACTTTCTCAAGTATCTTGCCCATTTTTAATTGTTTTTTGTACATTATTAGTAAGAGTTCCTAATATTATCTATATACAAGTTCTCTGTTGATTATAAGCATTATGACTACTCTCTGTCTCTCTGTGGTTTGCCATTTTACTTTTCTTTTTTAAAAAATTATACTTTAAGTACTGGGGTACATGTGCAGAATGTGCAAGTTTGTTACATAGGTATACATGTAGTACAGTGGTTTACTGTGCCCATCAACCCATCATCTACCTTAGGTATTTCTCCTAATGCTATCCCTCACCTAGTCCCCCAACCCCTTACAGGCCCCAGTGTATGATGTTCCCCTCTCTGTGTCCATGTAGTCTCATTGTTCAACTCCCACTTATGAGTGAGAACACGCGGTGTTTGGTTTTCTGTTCTTGTGTCAGTTTGATGAGAATGATGGTTTCCAGCTTCATCCATGTCCCTGCAAAGAACATGAACTCATCATATTTTATGGCTGCATAGTATTCCATGGTACGTATGTGCCACATTTTCTTTATCCAGTCTTTCACTGATGGGCATTTGGGTCAGTTCCAACTGTTTGCTATTGTGAACAGTGCCACAGTAAACATACGTGTGCCTATGTCTTTATAGTACAATGATTTATAATCCTTTGAGTATATACCCAGTAATGGGATTGCTGGGTCAAATGGTATATCTGGTTCTAGATCCTTGAGGAATCACCACACTGTCTTCCACAATGGTTGAACTAATTTACACTTCTACCAACAGTGTGAAAGCATTCCTATTTCTCCACATCTTCTCCAGTATCTGTTGTTTCCTGACTTTTTAATGATCGTTGTTCTAACTGGCATGAGATGGTATCTCAATGTGGTTTTGATTTTCATTTCTCTAATGACCAGTGATGATGAGCTTCTTTTCATATGCTTGTTGGCTGCATAAATGTCTTCTTTTGAGAAGCATCTGTTCATATCCATTGCCCACTTTTTGATGGGGTTGTTTTTATTTTTCTTGTGAATTTGTTTAAGATTTTTGTGGATTCTGGATTTTAGCCCTTTGTCAGATGGACAGATTGCAAAAATTTTCTCCCATTCTGTAGGTTGCCTGTTCACTCTGATGATCATTTCTTTTGCTGTGCAGAAGCTGTTTAGGTTAATTAAATCCCATTTGTCAATTTGGGCCTTTGTTGCCATTGCTTTTGGTGTTTTAGTCATGAAGTCCTTGCCTGTGCCTATGTCCTGAATGGTATTGCCTAGGTTTTCTTCTAGGGTTTTTATGGATTTAGGTCTTCTGTTTAAGTCTTTAATCTATCTGGAGTTAATTTTTGCATAAGGTGTAAGGAAGGGATCCAGTTTCAGCTTTCTACATATGGCTAGCCAGTTTTCCCAGCAACGTTATTGAATAGGGAATTCTTTCCTCATTGTTTTTGTCAGGCTTGTCAAAGATCAGATGGTTGTAGATGTGTGGTGTTATTTCTGAGGCCTCTGTTCTGTTCCATTGGTCTATATCACTGTTTTGGTACCAGTACCATGTTGTTTTTGTTACTGTAGCCTTGTAGTATAGTTTAAAGTCAGGTATCATGTTGCCTGCGGCTTTGTTCTTTTTGCTTACAATTTTCTTGGCTATGCAGGACTTTTTTGGTTCCATATGAAATTTAAGGTGGATTTTTCCAATTCTGTGAAGAAAGTCAATGAAAGCTTGATGGAAATTGCATAAAATCTACAAATTACTTTGGGCAGTATGGTCATTTTCATAATATTGATTTGTCCTATCCATGAGCATGGAATATTTTTCAATGTGTTTGTGTCCTCTCTTATTTTCTTGAGCAGTGGTTTCCAGCTCTCTTTGAAGAGGTCCATCACATCCCTTGTAAGTTGTATTCCTAGGTATTTTATTCTCTTTGTAGTAATTGTGAATGGGAGTTCACTCATGATTTCGCTCTCTGTTTGTCTGTTATTGGTGTATAGAAATGCTTGTGATTTTTGCACATTGATTTTGTATCCTGAGACTTTGCTGAAGTTGCTTATCAGCTTAAGGAGATTTTAGCCATTTCACTTTTCTAATGGCATCTTTCAGTAAACAGAAGTTCTTGATTTCAACAGATAATGATTTATCAACCTTGTCTGTTATCATTAGTGCTTTTTATATCACACTTAAGAAAATTTTTCCACCTAAACATCATGAGGATATTGTCCTATATTAACTTCTAAAAGTTCTATTGTTTTGACTTTCACAATTAGATATATAATCCACCTAGACTTGACTTTCTTATAATGCGAAGGACAGGGTAAGTTTTACTTTTTCCCATATAGATATTCAGTCATTTCAGGATCACTGAAGAAAAGATCATCCTTTATCAACTGTTTTGCCCCCTTTGTCTTATCATGTCTTTATACATGTGTGTGTCTGTTTTGGGACTCAGTGATCTATTTCTTTTTTACTTCATTTCTTTTTAAGACAAGATCTTGCTCTGTTGCTCAGGTTGAAGTGCAATGTTGCCATCATAGTTCACTGCATCCTCTAACTCCTGGTCTCTAACAATCCTCCCACCTCAGCCTCCTGAGTAGCTGGGATGACAGATGCACACCACCATGCCTGGCTAATCTTTGTATTTTTTGTAGAGATGGGGTCTTGCTACGTTGCCCTGGCTGATCTCGGGAGCTCCTTGCCTTAAATGATCCTCCCACCTCAGCCTCCCAAAGCACTTGGATTACAAGTGTGAACCACAATTCCGAACCTCACTGATTTTATAGAGAGAAATTTTATATAGAAAAATCTTTTGGGATTTTAACTGGGATAGCATCACATTTATCAATCAGCTGGAGAAATGGACATCTTTACAATATTGACTCTTCTAGTCCATAAATATGATAGATTTTACCATTTATTTAGCCCCTCTTTCATTTACATTAGTAATAATTTAGGTTTTCTGTGTAGAAATTTACACAAACCTCTACATATTTGATGGGTTTTGATGCTATCATAGGTAATATCATTTTTAACTAATTAAAACTTCTCTCTATTATCTTGCATGTTATATATTTTTTTCTTTAAAGAGTCACCCAAGAAATAATGCCTGACATATTACTTCTAACATAAATTGGTACTTTTACACTTCTTAGATAATGCAAGGGTCTTACAATTCCAACATAC